TATATTAATTCGCTACTATGTATCTGGCAACATCCTAGAGCTGATATTGTTAAAGGAAAAATGGTAGTGCATTTGGGAAGGTCGGCTGCTACACAAATTAAACATAGTGGTGAGGAGAAGTGATGGATGCCACCAGCAGTTGGCTTGGCCAAGCTGAACACAGACAGGAGCTACATCCTAGCTACAGGAGCTGCTGGCGGAGGTATGGTGCTGCGTGGCGCTGCCGGAGAGATTATTTATACTGCTTGCAGGCAATTACGTACATGCGCTAATGATTTAGAGGCGGAACCAGCTGCGTGCAGTGAAGGGCTGGCTCTCGCCCTCCATCATACTGAGTTGCCGATTGTCATTGAGATGGATAGTTTGGAGGCGGTGTAGATGCTTAACTCGCCGTCTGTGGATCGCTCGAACCATCGTGTACTGGGGCAAGAGATTCTTGTGTTAATTGCAGCTGACCCTCGGAAGATTTCTATTAGCCATATTAGTCGCTCTCAAAACACTGTTAGTTATGCTCTTGCCGCTTATGGTTGTAGTACCCCTCGCACCGCCGTGTGGTTGGGATCTGGCTTGCACGACATTGTAAATCTTTGTATGGCTGAACGGCCTCCTTGAGTAATGAAATTCTTTTTTTACCCCGCAAAAAAGAACGAATTTGGCACAAAGTAGCAGACAATCGATGCATCCAGCGACTAGCTAGCCCCACCTTGCTGCTCTCTCCCTCCCTACTCCCACATGGCCCATAGGCCAATCTCTCCTCTTCCATCCCATTTCAGAAATTTGAAGAGGCAGCAACGCATAGTGTGCATGACATGTCTCTATCGCACGATGTTAGGGCTCATGATTCACGAACCGCTCTCCCAAATCCAATCTAACCGAGCAGGGGTGGGAGCGGCTGCAGCAGGCAACCGGCGGCGCCCTGCGTCCATCCCTCGCCTCCTCTATGTTGCATGGTGGCATCCGCACCGCAAGCCGCAACAGGCAACACACGCCTTCTCTCGTTCTTAGAGCATCTCCAGCCGTTGGCCTCTCAGGGACTCAAAAAATCATTGCCTGAGGACGACGGTTTGGGACCGATTGGGTTCCTAGTCGCTGGCCCCAGGGTCGCCCCAAAGGTTTTTTTAATTTTTTTTAAGAAATCCAGCTATAATTTAGCAAACGGGCATAAACTTTGATGATTAAACAGTTTTGTACATAGCAAACTTAAAATTTATTTGAAAAAACAAAGGCCGCGACTACAGGAATAACTCGATGAACTCGGCGAAGTCGCCGCCGTCGTTGTTGTCCTTCTCCTCCTTCATGCGGCCGCCCCTGCTGGACCCCTGCCCGAAGTCGCCCTGGCGGACCGGTGGTGGCGCGTCGTTGTCGCTATTGTAGAGAACGACGACGCCTCCCTCATCACGGCCACGGCGTCGAGCGGCGATCTCCTCTAGGGCGCGGCACTGGCGCTCCAACTCCAGCTGCACCCAGTCCTCCTGCGCCCACTTCATGGCCGCTGCGTCGTCGAGCTCCGTCTTCACGCCGGTGAGCCCTGGCTCCGTCTTTACGGCGGCGAGCCCCGGCTCCATCTTCGGCTTGACGAGGCAGGGAGGAGCCGAGGAGGCGCACCCGCCCTCGTTAATGACGATGCTGGCGCTGCGGCTGCGTCGGCCGAGCGGCATCTCCGTGGGCTCGGCCTTGACGTTGTAGAGCGTCGGTGACCCGGAGGAGTGGGAGGAGGAGGAAGAGGAGCCAGTCCTCCTCGGCATCCATTGGTCGCCGCTTCTTCGGGGGGCCGGGGTGGCAGTGTACGTGAATGGCGGCTTGTTGCCGCCCTCGAGGTGCTCGATGACGGCGTGGAGTGTGCGGCCGGGGGCGCCCCACCACAGGCGGTGGCCGTCGCTGTTCTTGGTCCCCCGCACCAATGGTGCGTTCTTGGTGGAGGCCGGCCGTTCCGCCTGCCGGCGTTTGAAGTAGGCCAGCCACGCCTCGTGGTTGGCGGCGGCGTACTTCGGGCAGGCCCGCTGCTCCTCCGTCAGCGACGCTCGCGCACGCTCGACATCGGTGTTGAAGTAGTCGAGGCACGTGACGTTGGGCAGCAGGGGCACGGGGATGTCCCCGGTGCTGAGCCTGCACTGCCCCGGCGCGCGCATGTCAGGAGGCGCCGGGATGTTTGCTTCATGTAGGAGGTGGGCATCCCACTCCTGTAGCGAGCGGCGGCCGAAGCCATTGGCCGCCGCCACGTCGTCGGGGAACCTCTCGCCCATCGTCTGCGGCGGCGGAAAGAGTTTGTCGGCGGCGGCTGTGCATGGGGAGAGAGGGGGGTTGCGGGCAGGTGCGTCCCCGGCGAGGGAGGTGCTGCTTTATATAGCGGTCGGGGGCGGCGTTGTGTGTATGCATGGGGAGAGGGGGCGCGTCGCAGCACCAGCCGCCCGTGAGAAATCCATGAAAGGCTAACCGGCGGCAGCCTTGGCGTTGATTCCTCGAGGGAAACGAGGCGTTGTGAGGATGATGAGGCAGGGGTCGCTGACTTGGCGTGCCCGCTGTTCGTTCGCGCCAAAACCGATTACCACGGCGCCCCAGCGCGCCAGGTTCGGCCTGGGTACGCCGGCGCCAGTTTCAGGCCAAACCGACGTAAAATGAGCTCTTGGGGACGTGACTGGACTGGCTTTTGGGCACCGGCGCCAAAAAATGGCCCCTTGGGGGCGGCAGTTGGAGGCACGGCTAAAGATGCTCTTATTGGCACTTTTGCAGGCTGCAGCGAAATCAAGCGTCGAACTCTATGTAAGTTAACTTGGCTTCGTGTGTTAGTATATTGATTGAAATTTAAGAATCATTTCTAGCGAATTCAAACCTGACAATTATTTAGAGTTATTGAGTAGTATAATGATAAATTAATCTGGTTTGCAATTCGTGAATGATTTTGAATTTGCAATGTGAGAATATTTATGAAGTTATGAGAATGTGAAAGTGAGTATTACCAATAAAAATGGTACTTCTATTTGTGAACACTTTCAATATGAGAACTTTTATGAATCTATAAAAAAATTCCTCGCTTCTGCGTCATATCCTGTACATTTAAGTACAACTAGCAAAAAGATCCGTGCGTTGCAACGGTAAGACGATTGTATCTGCAAAATGCATTTGCAGTCAAGCTGAATTTAATCTTTACCGAGATATGTGGGAACAAAGATTGTATATCTTTAATATGAACTAAAATTCTAAGTGAGTGACAAAAATAGGTTGAAAAATCAAGAGTTACACTAATCGAACTTTAAGAAAATAAACTCAAATCTGCAGTAGAGAAGTGCACTCGGGCAGTAATTTTTTCTCTTGAGGATTGCAATAAACATAGAACTTTTTTATATTTGATAGTACAAACAGAAAACTTCATATTTTGTGGTTGCAAGGTTGCATGATTTTTTTCCCCGGATAAATCATGGTTCGCGAGTTCAGCTACGGAAATAAAGAAATTCTTTTCTGACTTGAGATGACTTTTAGTTGAAGTGCGGCACATAGAAAACATGCCCTGGCACCATGGGTGTAGTAACTGGTAAAAAAAACTTTGTATATGAGCTCCCACATTAAAAGGCCAAGGGTACATCTAGTCGAGCACGTGAAGCATCTCATGAAGCAAGGGAGGCATTTCGTTGTCAACAAAATCTCCCGGGAAATGAACCAAACGAGCGATCTGCTTGCTCGTTTTGGTCGTCTAGAGGAACGGACAGCAGTTTGGTTAGGATCAGGGCCTGATAAAATATTAGACCTCATCCTATGGGATTGTAATGTGTTTAATCAATACAATCCCTTTTCCCCGCAAAAAAAGGCCAAGGGTACATAATGACCGGCAAAAAGGGAACGTGTTTACCTCATATAGAGGTCTTGTACTCCTTGTGGTTTCTCTTAATTTCTAAAAATAAATTAAAATTAAAAAGGGTGAAGACTAGATTCGAACACGCACCTCCTCGGTAGATGTGTGGCGCTCTAGCCATCATGCTACAACATCTTTACTGATGTTAAGGGAGGTTCGCTAGCTGATAAACCAAATTTAGCGCAGCGACCTGCGATGAAAAAAACGAAACGTTTTTTCTGACTTATAGGTGGCATACTCAATAATTTGTAGCAACTTTGGGGTAAATTATATGACGTACGAGCAGAAGCAATAGCCCTTTTATTATTAGAGTAAGAAGTAAGATATGGTGATACATTCATTTGTACATGCCAAAATCAAGGATTTAGGATGTACTACAAAAAACTTACTGTAATGTTTAAAACTTTGAATACACACTTTCCAAAACCTGGGCCCGCCCCTGGCGACGCGGCAGGACATGACAGAACTGATGAGTCCACATCAGGTAAAGGAAAGCAATTGCACATAAAAAAATAGAGAAAGAACATGATGAAAGAGTATTGGAACCACGTAGCGGAACAGGGCACGAACCAAGGAAGAAGAAGGTGAACTGTGTAGTGCACTGGTGGAACAGGCTATATAATAGAACGGGGATGCAGCATAAGCACAGCAAATAAGACGTATAAGAATGACGCATTGAAGTATTTATATAGAATAAACACGTATATTGTCTTGTATTCAAAGGGTTAAGAATTTGCATCCATTTTTCAACCAGTTTGTGTGCCCGTGTGAATTTTCGGGTTGTTCCGGTGTCAAAAAAGACAGAAGAAGCGAGTCGTGATGTTTTAGAACGTGGAAAGTTTTTCGTGGTTATGTTGGGACTCGGATCATGCTGTTCATGTTTGGGAGTCTTTTGTTTACACCTAGACGTTGGCTCGTGTTTTGTTCATGGAATCCGGCCGGAAAATGGTTTGGAAAATTTAAACTATATATAAGCAAGTGGACGTACTGCTGTATGTGCTATTGATAAAATTAGTTTTTTTTACGTTTGCCTATCTGTAATCCTCCTGTGTTCTGTGTACATATCCGACAGATGCACCAACCTCGACCGAGAAAACTATCTTGAGGATGCCATGCATCGATTGACTGGACTCATTCCATTGGATCCCATATCCTACTGCATGCTGGAAGAGTACTGCAGCGGCGACGACGACCGGCGGCGCTTCTTCTTGGACTCCCCCCAGAGGTGGAAGCTGGAGTCGCCGTTGGCGAGGTCGTCACACTCGGGGAAGACGGTGGTCTTGTATCGCACCCTGTCGCGGCACGCCGTGTAGGTCAGGTACTGCTCGCGGAACCCCCTCATGGCGGCGCGCTTGGAAGGGGCCATGACGGCGACGTCGTGCGTGAGCAGGTCGACCTGGCACCCCTCGGGGTCGGCGACGCTGCTGGCGTCGCAGCCGCTCAGGACGAGGTCGGAGAACTCGGCGGCGAATGGCGCGTAGGCGTAGTCGACCTTGTACTTGCCGCCATCGGTGGCCCAGGCAGAGCCGTCCCAGATGGTGGCGTAGACGGACATGGGCTTGGAGGGGAAGTCGCCGCCCATGGAGGGGACGCGGACCACCTCGCGGATGGGGACGCCGTCGAGGTAGAAGACGATGTTGTTGGGGGTCCAGGCTATGGCATAGCGGTGGACGCCGGCGACGGTAGGTTCGACGGGGAGATGGTAACGCTCCTCTCGGCCGCGCGCGGTGCTGCCGTTGCCGTACATGTTGGTCTGGACACGCCAGCCGTGGCCACGCCGGTTGCCCAGCAGCTCGAAGTCCAGCTCGTCGTGGTTCTTGGGGTACTCGTCCCAATTCGACAGCTGCACGCACACGCACAAGTCAGTCTCACACCAGCACGAATGTAAAGTTTTCGATGGCATGAACAAGTCAGCTGTCTCACAGCAACAGCAGCACTCGTAGAGATAAATATTTCGATCGGAAGAAGAAGAAATTTTGAACCAATCAAACAGTTACCAAAGGACTAATCATGCATGCCAATCAAAGGGTGCATGCGTGCATCCTCAGTAACATTTTTTTTCTCCCGTATACGTGTTTGCTTTCTTCATTTCTGTCATAATTTTATAATGATCATAATTATTTTTTGAGAAATAATAATGATCATAACCAAGATATGAATCTGTAATGTTGGGTTGTTTGGGCCAGATAGGGCAATCGATGGCCAAGATTTTTTCTAGGCCGTGAAAGCAAGCCATCGATGTCGACATCACCCACCATGTATGTGAAGGTGCACCAGCGCCGAGCATAAATTTCTTTCTTGAAGTGAACAAAAAGAGATGGAATTAACAAACCATCACTCAGCCTCACTAGCGTTGTTCGGGCCAAGTAGGGCAATAAAATCAGCAACAATTTCCAGGCCAGAAAAGCTAGCTAGCCAGCCATCGATGCCGACACATCCCACCAATGCAATGCAATCACCCGAGATGGATCGAGCTAGCTTAGACCGATAGATTACCCATACTCCAGGGCAACTGGTCGACGCACGCACGCCAAGATGATGGACGTCCATTTCTTTCTACGCCAATAGCTTAGTATATATCGCGCGTATTTTTTGCCTTTTTTTAATAAGATGGCCGTATGCATCGTTTTGATGCAGAGGCCGGGGAGCCCCCTTTTCGAAAAAAAATATATCGCGCGTATCTTCTTTTTCTCGGGCTGATGGCTGATGGGCGTTTCGTGTACGCCTACCTAGCGACACCGGTACGTGTTAGGGCGGTGCTAAAGCGAAAGAGATCGACATGATGCTGACCGGTGTGCACTGCGCCAGCACGGAGGGGAAAGTAGATGGAATTTCTCCTCCCTTCCCGCCGCTTGGTCGCTACACACATTTGCTCAGCCGTTTCGACGGACAAGAACGAGCAGCACTCTACACGGTTCCACCCGGTGGATTGTGGTGCTGTTCGCGGACAAGCCAGCGGAGAATTGGTCATGATCAAAGTGTGGTGTGGATTACTGACTAATTCGTAGCATATGCATGGTCAATCGATCTACCTAGACCAGTCACCAGCGTAAGTAGAGTTGATTTCTAGGCTTAGTCATGTCGAAATATCAAGTGACCCAGGAGATTAATCGATCGAACGAAGCAAGTAAAAGGATCAAACTGGAACAGGGCCACAGGGGGCTAGGCTGGGGCACGTACGTAGAAGGCGACGACGACGCCGGCGGTGTAGTCGGCCGGCAGCTTAATGGAAGCGCCGAAGAAGCCATGGCGGTAGGCCGACTTGGATATGAACCCAGACCCTGCATCGTCATACTCTCACTTAGTTCTCGATCGATGGAGCGATCAAATAACTGTCGAAACCAAATTGATTTGGATCGCGATCGGGGTACGTAAACGGGTTCGGAAATACGTACTGTTCCATTGATTGAATTACTTACCGGTGTATCTGTCCAGCTTGAGCGTGACGCTCCGGCCGTCCGCCGACCGCACGAGGTTGTCGCCGCCGAAGAGCGGCGCGTACCCGGCGTCGAACGGCACCGGCGACGTGTCCAGCGCCGCGGCGGCGGCCGCGGCGAAGACCGCGAGAGCCGCCATGAGAAGAGCACTGGCTGCTGCCATGGCAACTCGCTAGTCCGATGGATCGATGGAGCTCGATCCTGCACGCAGGAGGCAGCCGCTGCTCTATGCGTGTATGTATTTCTGTGTCCGTGTGCCGTGCCTGTGCCGCGCGCGTCGATATATATGCATGTCATCTCATGTTTCCTTTGTCGAGACGATGCGATTGGGTTCAGTTCCTTTTTGGCGGAGCCGCCGGCGGGGCTAGCTTGCTAAGCTACGCCGACTTGTGGGCCCGGAGTATTACTATCTCTAACAATGCTTATATTCGCCCAAACAAAAATGGCACTTAATTCTCATACATCTTTTTTACACATATTCTCATGCAACAAATCATGTGACACCTATCCCGGAGTGAGTAAAAGCGGACAGCCTAATCTAGAGGATCCATTTTATTCATCTGCTTTATACTGCACTCTCTTCATTTTTATTTAGTCCGCATATTAGCTTTAGTCAAAGTCAAGCTTTGTAAACTTTGACCACGTTTATAAACAAAAAATTTAACATATACAATAACAAATCAGTACCATTAGATTTATTATCGGATGTATTTTCACATCATATAGATTTGTTATGAAAAATGTTTATATTGTTTTTTATAAACTTGATCAAATTGTACGAAGTTTGATTTCAATCAACTCTAATATGCAGAGTAAATAAAAAAGAGGGAGTGCATACGCAACGAAAACGTCCATTTGACGGTAAATGACCGGCCCAATTGTTACGTACATTAAGCAAGCACATAAAAGGATTGAGTTCTTTTTTCCTTTTTGGCCGGAGAGAGGAAAAAATTGAGTTGTAAGCTTTTACCAAATAAAACGTACTGATCCTATAAAAACTAATGAAACATATTCCCTCTGTTTCATAATGTAAGATGTTTTTCTGACTCTTGCTATATTATTCATGCACCGATCTTACCTGTCCCATTATACTGGAAACAAGGGTGTGACATGCATGACCTACGATCCCAAAATGCCACAGCATGGCTCTTCCCCGCCACCTGCCCGCGTCACTTGAAACTTCAGTACCAGGCGCCATCTGCATCCCCTGCTTAGAAAATCTATCCCTCAATTAACAAGTGCCGATGATCATGAGCCACGCGTGGTGTCATCGCACGAGCACTAACATCAGGTCATCGCCCGTGCCCCTGACAGTGACGGTGACAGGAACACATTAGACGAATCCATCATCTCAGCCGGGAGTGGATTAGTTGCGTGTATAGGAGACTTAAAACTAGAAAAGCAGTGGCCGATGGCGAGACGTGATGATGCGGGGTGGATGGACGTGAACAGACCACCAACCAAAGTGCTTTGCATCTCCGGCGCGTAGCTCGCTTGGATTGCGGGCGGCCTACAATACCCATTTTCGTACCGGCCTGCCTGCAGAGCAGGGCCAATGAAGAGACGGAGGAAATCGGCCAAAAAGTTGTGTGTCTGTCGGCCGATCGATAAGAATGTCAGCTGTACCTGGTGTGCTCTTCCCCCTCCTGCTGTCCTACGCTGGCTACGCGCGCGCCTTGATTGTTGATCGGCCCTCCTCGCGTGCGAAAGCTGTGTGTATTTGTCCGTCTCCCTTGATATAACCGGCCGTGGCCACGGATCCACATGTGTGGTGGGTGAAGGGAGGGCATTCGCCTGTATATATCATCGTCATCCTCTTTGGCTTCACTGTTGTGTGTATGTGGCCACTCTGGCGTGTAGATATGTAGATATGCTGGCTGTTTGCGTCATCCAGACGGTTCTGATTGTGCTGTGTGGCAAGGTGGTGTTGCATCATCTGTCAACCTATGCAATATATTACCATCTTTTTTTTGGGACAACGCTAACGCTCACACGTGTGGTGAGAGCCAAACTCGTCCACACTTTTATAACACACATACCGCGCCACGTCATCGCATGCATGCATGTGGATTTTTTTTTTGGATTTTCGTTTTTAAAATGTTTTATCTCTTAAGTGGAAAATTCAATTGAAGATCCGTTCTCACCATTAAATCATTGGTGACGAGATCTTCGAAACTAGATCTCATATTAACATATTTTGACGATTTTTTTGGGGTTAAAAGTTGACATGTCTATTGCACATGAATTGCCATGATGTTTACACTGAAATTGCCATGATATGTTTCAGCTATTTTCTTCAACATTTAAAAGTAAATTTTGATAGATTATAAAACGGGAAATTAAGAAACTAGACTTGCCATGAACCATAAACTAAAATTGCCATGATACATGCACTTAAAATTGCAATGGTTCATACAAAAAATAAATTTCATGGTCAAAGTACTGGAATTGCCATCATAAAAATACTAAAATTGGCATGCTCTACAAACTAAATTGCCACATGGCAACTTTAGTTTAAGCACTTGACAACTACAGTATAAACATCATGGCAATTTTTGGGTAAAAAAAATCCCGGCGAAACATATCAACATAGGGTCTAGTTTTGAAGATCTCGTCGAGACAGATTTAATGGTGAAAATGGATTTTTAATTCGATTTTTTAATTAGGAGATAAAACATTTTCAAACCAAAAAGATTCCTGCTGATGTCATCTGTTCATACGTGGCAAAATAAGTGCTGATGAAGGCTGTGTGGGCAATGTGCAAGATGCCACACGTGTGGGCGCTAGTTTTTTTTTCTTTTTTTTGACACGAATCTATGCAATATAGGAGTACTACTTAGTATTGAATTAAAAGCATGTTAATAGGCAAACTGAGCATAATCACATGGTTAAGTTCCTCGTCCACTAGGGCTCTAGTCATAGACTTGACACCGGTGGTTGTATTTTTCTGGATTTATATAGGCCTTTTGGTGATGTGCATTCAGTTGGAGCAAGTCAATTATGAAGCTGTTTGTGATGACTTCATCAATTTTAAAATGTTGAGCTAGCTCAGTAACTCGGAGATGCTCATAGAAATAAGATGTGTGTTCATGCATTCATAGGGTTAGCTTATGTGTGTGCCTATGAGCATATGTTGTACTATGTTTAAAAAAACACATAATAGAGAGAGAAAACAAAGCCTTTATATATATATAATTTATTGGGACTTCAACATTTTGAGTAGTCCACTTGGTTGTTCGATTTCTGGTTTAGCCTTTTTTAAGGGAGTAGATTTCTGGTTTAGCCGGGTACAGTCTTCCGATCAAGCCTAACAACTAAGAGGATACAACACACGATGTTGTGAAAGCTAGGTGATGAAATTTTGTATTGATAACATCAGAATTGAAATTTAAAATACATATGATTAATTAATTTGATTACGTATAGTTGTAACAAACTTATTGAATATAAGTAGAATAATTGAATGAAAAACATTCTTCCATGTATGGTTGAATGTTGTGGTGGGTCTCTTTTCATTCATGATTGCATATTGAGGTGGACCTTATCCTATTCATATTCATAGTTGTATAGTGAGGTGGCAATGCTTTCATCTTGAGATAAATAAACTGATGTGGATGAATTTTTTTCTTAAATACGGACGAGTGTGCGTACCATTACTTCTCAAAACAGCTATCACCCCGCTTTATAAATAAATCAACACAAGAAAAGATACACGGCCAAACGATATAAGATGATGAGGTAGCCCACTTACAAAGTCGATCTTGAGATATCCGGCACATGCAGAGCGCACGCGACTACGCTACCAGCAATGAGCACCGAAGGACTAAACACCTCGCGCTACGACCTAGCACAGCTAAGCTCCACGACAACGCCCCCAAGAGGAAGAATGGCGCAGAGCATCGCCGCTGTCGAGTCCACATAGGACGAAGGTCTTCACCCGGAGCCCTGCTTATCATTACTCCTATATATAAAGGATGTCAGAATACCCGCCTCCCTGGGCTCTCCGCAGGGGAAGCGAGCCTCCTGGTCATCTGTTGGCCGGGGGCGTCCTGCGGGAACCTCGCGAGGTGGCTCCGAGCCGTTCGATCTGCCAGGACGGCTCCAACCCGGGTGATATGTCTCCTACGTATCTATATTTTTTTATTGTTCCATGCTCTTATATGATCAATCTTGGATGTTTTATATATATAGCAACTTTATATCATTTTTTGGGACTAACCTATTGACATAGTGCCCAGTATCAGTTGCCGTTTTTTTACTTTGCAGGATATCAATACCAAACGAAGTCCAAATGCCACGAAACTTTTTGGAAATTTTTTTCTGGCAGGAAGACACCCAGGAAGCTTCTGGAGGGCATCAGGGGACGCTTGTGGGGCCCACTAGACACCAGGGCACGCCAGGGGCCTTAGGCATGCCCTGGTGGGTAGTGGGGCCCACAGGCACCCCTTTGACCTAAATCTGCCTCTATAAATACTCTAAAATCCAAAAAACCTTAGGGGATTCGACGAAATACTTTTCCGCCGCTACAAGTTCTAGAACCACGAGATCCAATCTAGAGGCCTTTTCTGGCACTCTGCCGGAGGGGGCAACGCTCACGGAGGGGTTCTTCATCATCCTTACTGCCTCTCGATGATGCACGAGTAGTCTACCACAAACCCACGGGTCCGTAGTTAGTAGCTAGATGGCTTCTTCTCTCTTTTTGATCTTCAATACAATATTCTTCATGATGTTCGTGGAGATCTACTTGATGTAACTCTTTTTTGCGCTGTGTTTGTTAGGATCCGATGAATTGTGAGTTTATGATCAGTTCTATCCATGAATATTATTTGAGTCTTTGATGAACTCTTTTATGCATGATTGTTATAGCCTCTTATTTCTTCTCCGATTTATTGGTTTGGTTTGGCCAACTAGATTGCTTTATCTTGCCATGGAAAGAGGTGCTTTGTGATGTGTTCGATCTTGCGGTGCTCATTCCCAGTGACAGAATGAGACATGACATGCATGTATCATTGATATTAAGGGTAACAAGATGGGGTTTATTCAAATGTGAGTTTATCTTGCTTACATCATGTCATCGTTCTTATTGCATTACTCTGTTTTTTCATGAACTTAATGTTGGGGAAGGCAGTAATTCCAAAAAAATTCCTACACGCACACAAGATC